CAATATTTTATATGACACTAGATTATCTGGAAGTTGAATTTCAACCTGAGAAGAAACTTTAGGTGGAACGCTTATATTATCTAACTGACAATACATTTTTCAAAATAATAATGACAACATACGGCTTCGAAATCTCCAAGTACATACAAATAACTCATTAATTACAGTATAAGTTGGCAAATAACCTTTTTGTTCCAAATAGGAATGATTAATCTACAAACAACAATATTAACTGTATTATCGAAAATTGAATTCAACTTGCGAAAATTTAAAATCAACTAAGCATGAATAGGAAAAATGCCTTCAACGTGAATTGAGCAGAATTTCGAAAAAATGGTAAAATGCATTTCAGTCATTTTGAGTTTTACTTCGTAGATGAAGAAGTAGTTTTATTATTTTTTTCATTTGCAACAATGTGAAACGCTTTTAAACTATGATATAAGACAAAAGGAGCATCCTGTTTACGACAGATAAATTAGATCGGTCGTCATTTAGAAACTTAATCACTCATCAATATTGGGATCATTTGACAAGTAAACGTTTAGAAAAAAAGAAACAGCGAAAAATAAACAAAGAAAATGTCAGAAAATGAACCATTTACTGAGAGGATAAGATTACTTCCAGTGAAAATGTATCAGTCAATTAGTCCTTCTAGCTAATAAAATCAATACCATGCAATATTTCAACGATCAGATAAATTTTGTTTGATCTCAGAACTGTAACCTAATTGTTGTAAGTCATATAGCTGGAACAAAAAGACAAACAAACAAACAAGTACTGTCTCATTGTTTGAAATAGAGATGCAAATTACAAATTATATTTTGGAGACTAAACTAAATTTATTTACCTAACGTTTGGGTAATAGTCACTCAGTCTACCTTGATGAGAAACTTTTTCGCATATCAAGAGAGTGAGAGTATGAAAAAATCTGAGATGTTTCTCAATAAAATGCAAAACAGTGGATGCAGAAAATGAAGAAACTTAAGTCTTATCAGTGTGAAATTTCTACTTCATTTATGCAGCAAACTATTAGTTTTAAAGAACCAGGTGATTGTAGGTAGCTACCTTCAAAAATCTAGCCTCAAAGCTTTAACAACCGATGAAATAGGGCGCTCGCAGTTCATCAGCTAGTCTCATTTAAACGCTAGTTCGTCAAATATTTTCCATGAGTGAGAATATATAAGTTGATCCATATTGCTTCAGCTGCATATCGTGAAACAAGATCCTCACCAACTTAAGTTATCTTCTAGGAAGAAAAAAGTTTTAGTGTAATTCATTCTAAATGAAATCTACTAAATTCTGCAAATCTTCCTCATCCTTACTACCAAGCAAATTGTATGTGTACACTGTGTGCGATCGTGCAGCTTTAAAGTGACATCCAAGAGAGAAAGATCTTTTTTCTAATAAGACAGTTTTCTATGTCTTAAAGACACTGTTTTTACTCTGAGATAACTGGAAACACAGGTAAATATCAGCTTTAATTTGAGGGATTATAGGTAATTTATTATCACTATGTTACTGTTTATTAATAACACTGAGTTTTCCTGCAGATTTTATTAAAAAAAACACTTTATCGTCTTTCTGCTAGTTCCTGTCAACTCTACGCAACCATACTGATTAGTTGTTTTCTCACACCTATAACATCATGCCAGCTTTTGCATCTTTTCTAACTTCCATTTGGTCACCCCATTTGGGATACACCTTATATTACGTAATACATTTTTCAAGGACAAATTTTGCCGGTATCTGCCTGGTATTATGGTTATTTTGTTAAATATAATTACGATTGTACAGCTTATGAAAATGAATCGTTGAAAAGAAAATTTTCTTTGCTGTTTACGTCTTTTTCGTATGACTCAATATGGGAATATTTCGTTCATTTATTCAAATCTCTTGTTTCTGATCTAAATATCAGTTTATAAGTTACCAGTGAGGGCCTGGGTTTTATTTCTCCGGTTACTCATTATTGGTAGTGTTCTCACGATCTTCCGGAAAGCCATGCCCCTGATTACATTTGAAAGTGCCTTCCCCATCTTAACAAACACACTTCTAGTTCGACCGCAGATTGATATCACTTAGAGAACCGTTGAAAACCAGCACTGGAGTACTACTGGAAAGTTGTTTCATCAGCCTAGTTTGAGAATCATCGAAAGTACACACCCACTGGGTTCGAACACAGCACCTTCCGGTTACAAGACAAGCTCGTATACTATTCAGCCACTGGGACCCGATTCAATGTCCCACCGATAACATGGGTTGGTGGTCGCACTAAAGTACGAATTTGTAGGAGTTAGAATTCATGCATTGGCTGGCCATTGAATCAGGTCCCAGTGGCTGAATTGTGTACGAGCTTTCCTTGTAACCGGAAGGTCCTAGTTTTGAACTTCTTGAGGTAGGTGCGTACTGGTGATGATTCCCGAACCAGGATGAAACAGCTGTGCAGTACTTCCTGTGGCTGGTTTTCAATGGTTCTCTAACTGATATCAATCCATGGCCAAACTCAGAGAAACAAAACTAATCCTTAAAAATCAACTCTTGAAGAAAAAACAGGCTTCACTGGTAGCCTGTTTATCTTACAGGTATCCTTCTCCTGAAGTTTATTACTCACAAAAACTGAACACGAGAAGGTTATCAAGTTCTGCTAGTCAGGTGAACAGTAAAGCCACTGTATAAATTAAGCTGTGCTATAATTCCATACTAATCTTCAGATAACAGGATAGTGTTTATAAAACTGCTTAGGTTCCATACATGCTTCCACTATGTCTTAAACCAGAAACACCTCATATAACATTCAGCATATCATAAATTAGTAAAAACGAAAGATCGGTGCATTATAATTTAGCTGCATCTGGTGTGGCTGACCCCACTAATTCAAGTAATCTATAGAAAAGCTAGGCCACTGCAATGAATTTGCTTGTATATAGTCACACAAACGTGTGAGATAAAGTAAAGTAACCGACAGTGATATAATCAGGTGGAGAGAGAGGTTAGTTTTGCTCATGCAGTCAGCAATAAATAGATGAACTAGACACAACGAAGCACTTGTCCTCATTGCATTAAAAAGTAGAAGGGAGTAAAGCCATACATAAGGCAATTTAAGAATACGTGTGGATAAATTATGCGCAAAAATTTCATTTAATTATCAACACTATGTTATTGTGTTATGTCAAATAAACTAGTCTAATATGGAATTATATTCTACCATACTGCCAAAATTTTACTCTTATATTATATTATTATATATGATTAAAATATGCAAACATGATCAACACTGTCAAATCGCCTTTCCAATTGAATATTAAAAATTGTATTTCTTTTGAATAATAAGGTATGAGATTAAATGATAATGAAATTCATTTGCATGAAGATTGATAAAGGTGGGAATTTTGCAACTCACTGACTTTGATAATTGAATAAAACAAGTTTTATAGAACAGAGACGTAATGAGCTAATTAATTTTCAAATAAAACGCGTTATTGGACATGAATTATTTTATTTTTGTTTAAACTAATCAGCGAGTTTGGTTCGAAGAAGAATTTAAAAATTTCAAACGCTCCTACGTTTTTGGAAATTGCTTACTGACTAATGAAAGGTTCATGAATTCAGAAGGAAAAAAGATCAGTTTGAGAAGAAAGTTGTATGATCATCTGGGTTGGAGCTTCTTATGCAAAAATGTCTCATTACAATTAATCACCTAGATCATTGTGCATATATATACATATATTAACGCCACCCTTTTCTAAGCAGATAATGCACTCGCGTCACCAGCTGATAGAACTTACGGTTAATGGTTCATTTAGCTTCAATACGATTGTAGCCTAAGGATTCAGAATTCATCCTTCTGGTGGTTTCACAAATATATTATAAGGTCACAAATTGAAAAAAAACTTCCTATTACTTCCTGGTTTTCGATGTTCACTTGAAATCGGTAGTTCTTGTCCGTCGGCGGCACAGCGGTTAGGATGCTCCCGGACCATGCACATGGTCCGGGGTTCGATCCTAAGCAGACGCACACCTGATATCAATGGTCGGCCTGCAAAATTCAGGCTACCGATATCACATGCTGAAAATTAAATGCTTGTACCAAAATACTATGTGGAATCAAGCTATAATAAACAATTAGTTAAGTCAGTATACAACAAAAACGACACTTGGTGAAAACTTTACTTTTTCATGTCGCATAATAATTTTAGAGATGCACTGTGGAAAACAGAAAATCATACAGAATCTATACGTTATTAGTCCACCGGAAATTCATCTAAACTTCTGCACAGAAAAGAAGTTGAATTTTATCAACAGTGAGGCTAAAATTTAAACGATTAAACTGATCTATTTCCAAAAGGAAAGATTTTAGGGTGAACGAATCACCATATGAATACCTCAGGAGATATTTATTTAGAGATTGATTGTGAACTTCAAACAGGTTAGAAAACATATCACTAGTTACAGGAAAGCAAACAACATGGCAACACAGTTTTTAACAGCATATAAAAACATTCCTCAGAAGACGTTTTTTTCACAACAGAGGTTAGCTGGCTAAGTGAAATAAAGTGAACAAGGATAACAATCGAAGTGTTTGAATTCCGTTCGCAGGATGCCTTGCTTAACTCACCATTCGTTCTTCAGGTCACTGATAAAGAAGAAGGAAAGTTATGGTTGTTTCGGGATTTAAACTAACACTCCTAACTGGTTCAGTATACGTTGATTAGGTCAAAATTAACCTCCATAAAGACGCTTTGTGAACTTGCACTAGCTAATGAGTGATGAACAGTATTAATTTCAAAATGAAGACTGCAGGCCGATGTTTACTGATCGAAAATGCTAAAGTTTAGTTACTAACATACGTCTCTTGTCTCTCTCATGTTTTTACCATGATAGTAAGATATCATTAAACATAAAATTTTGGAATTCATCAGTGATGTAAGTAGAATTTATTAATTTTTTATTGATTTTTAAAACAGAACGATTTCTAATTTCATCTATTTTGACTTTGTTTATAGTTTCACAAACCGTTTGTGGAGATTATTTGGTTACAATAACAATATGTTTGTCGTAAGAATAGAAGGTTTTATGGTGTTTTGTGTGTGTTTGGCAACTTTATTATCTTCTACAGACTGTACACGGATATTAGAATGCAATATAGCTGCTTGCGAGTAAGTTTTTAAGTGAATATTTCTTCATAGAATTTTTGTTTAAACATCGTACACTTCCATGCGAAATAGTCATGGTGTTGAACAGTAATAGATGAAATCGTTGATTACTTGAATGCAGATGAAGTTTGTATCCCAGGCGAAACCAGTTGGCTATCCAAGCTCTCCAGAGCTGAGTTAAAGTGGCAATTGATGTCAGTCATTACGACTAGAAATGTCACTTAGAACCATGTTCACGAAATGCTCCCAAGATATATTGACTAAAACTTAGAAGTAGAATATGACGTAGAATATGAATGTCATTTAATTTGTTAACCATAACAGTAGTAAGCAACAATAAAGTCTGATGAAATGCAGATAGGAAAACAATATGGAAACAAGTAGTATCAGTAGCATCCTGTTAAAAAGAAGTTGACGAAATTTGACAACATACCACTTAAGTTTTTACTATGGTTAGTCAGCTAGGTAGTTCGTCACCTCAATGCGGAGCAGCTAAGTGATGACATTTTTCAATCTAGCTTTGGATGACGGGGGTATTATTGTCAGAGGGGGAATCATTTGGTTCGACATACGTCTGCAGGTACGACTTTCCGGTACCAACAGGAGTGAAACTTAGTTACAAGATTTCCTCCTGGTTACTTTAAGCCACATTACATAGTTCAAGGAGCCCTACCATCCCTAAACTGACTGAAAAAATAAAAGTGGTGATTCATAAAAGCTATTCACAAATCATCCGAGTCAACGTTTATAATTTAACGTATGTATTTTATAGTTTAATGCTTTCGATGAATTTGTATTTCATTATTTTAGACAATGTAGTGTGACACGACAGTTCAGCGTAGACGAATGTTGTTCAAACGCAGAACTTCAAAGTGTTTGTGAAAAGTGTGAAGGAATTTCTGAAACTCTAGGACAACTGTCAGATTGTCTTGGTAAGTAATATTCAGTGTTCATGTATTATATGAGACAATTAATAAGATATTTAAGGAAATCTGGGCATTTGCATGAGTTTAGTTAGTAAACAATCAAGTTTGTTCATCACTTGGAAGGGAGTTCACATCATTTGACTCCTGGGCAAAGTGAATAAAAGTTCTGAAGTGACTGTCCTACATAATTGAAGTGATTCTCTATATTTCTATGTGGATGTCATCATCCAAGTCATCATGATCTTGAATGAACTAATTTGACTGGATTTAAACTTGACCAGGCTTAAGGCGTATAATCACTGATAGTTATCAATAGTTATGGTACCAAGGATGAATGTTATATCTCAAAAATGACACATCGATCAAATATCTCTACATAATGATGCTCCATTTGGAAATCTATCTTGACGCTTATATCACTATGCGTTAATATATTCACTTTACTGTAATATTTGCCAGTTTTTATTTATTTATAATTTTGACCATCATCTGCTTATTTTGCTGCATAAAACAAACTACCAATTAAGGATAAAAAGTCGAGCATTCACGGGCTGACCATTCCTAACATGAAATTGTATAAGTGCTCCGCAGTTAAGTTTTGTATACTGGGAGGATTCACTTGCTATCACACATGAGAACTTAAGTTTATGGCGGCTATGTCGGCCGTTATTCAGGGACCATTCTGCCTACATAATCCGGTCATATGCTAAGATGCTAACCGTTAAGAGTTCCGAATTCGAAAACGTGACTTTCCTTCAGGTCGCACATATCTTTTTATGATGGGCTGGAATATAGTAAGTCGATGGCTGAATGTTTCTGATGCAAACAGACTGAAGTGTCAGTCGTTAACCCTAGAAATACTGATTTTCAATCTGCAATCGCTAATTAAGGTTTTCTGAGGAATCAGAAGTAGTAATAACGCACAAATTGTTGAGGAAACTAATGAAAGTAATAGGTCTATGAAATGTAATATTATTATGTAAAAACTATTTTTAAACTGAAAATTAATATATTCGAAGTAGGATGACTATGAATTTTCCACCGCTAGCCTCAGTATTGTTCTCCTTGAAAATCAGTTATGTATCGTGAAATCTATGGGAAAAGGTTATAATGTAATAAAGTCCATTGGTGAGCATAAGTGAAATAATAAATGGAATGCCTACTAGCCATATGTATGTATGACATTAGCACGACTCGGCTGTAAAAATCTGCCGGTGGTTGGAAGTTCTCTCTAATTAATCTCAGTGTATAGTATATATAGGGCTCTAAGCTAGAGCTTTGAAGTTTTGGAAGCAGTAATTTTATTGTCGCGGGGCGGGGTTACTAGCCTCACGCCCAACCTTTCCTCTTTACAGGCCTTACTACTGGCCCAGCGAGGTTTAGAAGTGCGTCGGCCGAGGATCGAACTCCTGATGACTTCCGTGGTTGGGGAGTATCCGACGGTCAAACCACTGACGCATCTAAAAAAGGCATATATATATATACATATGAGTGTGTTGAAGACGCAGGTGTGTTGTGTAGATTCGACTACTAATTGCATTCTCCAGTTTGTAGTAGTTATGCTTTGTAACCCAGTTTTGTGTATATTTTTTAAGCACGACGTTGCATGCGGATCTTATCTAACTGTGTGCTTGTGCACCTTGTTGGCAATAGTGCAGATAGAATAAAACAAGGATGAACAGTAGTTTTTTCTAACAACGGTGCTGGCCAAGTTTTTTTAGGTCCAAAAACCTAAGTTATTTCACATGAATTCAATGAAATTAAGTATAAAGACTATTTCCTTGTAGTTTTTCATCAAATAGCACAATAAAATAAATTATGAAGTAGTTTTGGTTAGTTTCAAGTTCGATGCCCTCTGAAATCAATATCAGTTAGAAAGCCATTAAAGAACAGGTAGTAATAAATAGATATTTCGTCCTATTTTGGGACTTTGTGGCAGTAAGCACCAGTTTCTTCATTGACGATCGAACTTACGACCTCCATTTAATAAAGTCAGCATCTTAATATTCAGCCTATGGAACACTACGTAATGGACTACAAATTTCAACTTTTGGTAATTCGTGAAATATAGAGCCACTACTAATAACTGTCATTGTGAAGTATTTTTCTGTAAATTCAAAGTGACGAGACCCCACCAATCATGACTTTTCATTACAACTCCAGTAATTCCATCCTTAAGTTAGCCATAAATTAACAGTTCAGCTGATTTTCAGGTGCTGGATTTTACGGATTCCGTCCCGGTGGGTAAGTCTCAATGTGTTCACCTCTGTAACCTGAAACTCCAGGGTCGGATCCTCAGTAGGTAGACGGGAGGGAGTACTATTAACTAAAACAATATTGGTCTTAATGACTCCAAGATATTCAACGGTTCTCTTAATGATGTCAATTGGTAGTGAAAATATAGCTTGTATTTTTATTCAGCTAGTTCCCTACATTTCTCCTAATAGTCAAATGTTTTACTGATACCTATTAAAATAACTAATTCTTGTTATCTAATCATAATCCTACGCCTATGCGATTCAGCTGGCCAGCCATACTTCTTTATTTCGAAATGAATGTCGAATCTTATGATTAATTTATTTTAAGAGATAAATAAGTGTTTCTGAAAAAAAGAAAACGACGCATAATGACACCTCAAGTGTGTGTGTGCGTGCCTTTTTTTGCATCAAAGTTCTCTTTTTTGAAATGAGCATTTCGTTACTTCAAGTGATTGACAGGTCAACTGAAATGTCTTTTCTTTTTTCTCCACTCTCATGAAAGTTAGTAACCAGCTTTTTTTATACCATAGCCATATGATATGATAGACATTTCGTTCACAGTGAAGCCTTTTATGCTGGAATAAAACTTAAAAGCTTCATCCTGCTACATTTACCATTTTCACGCAATTTTATGCTCCAATGAACCAGTATAAGTGCATCAATGAAATTACTAAAATAGGCGAGAGGGAAGACAGTTTGAACGAAAATTTATTAATTTCAAAACTAAGTTTCTAGGTGTAACAGTGTTAGTCAATCACAAATAAACCTACATTTCAAAGCATTAGGCGAAGAAATATTCTTGCTAAGAAAAATAGTTTTACAAAATTCTTTTCTAAAAAGTTTTCTAAATGAGATAAATCAGCCGACTTATCTCTAAACAATATATGTGATTAAAATGTGTAGATAATTGAATGAAATACTCCTATTGAAAGCGTGATTGTTACATGTCGCTTTATTGAAGCAAAAAGTTCATGTTCAACTGATTTTACTCTTCTAATCGTATCATTTTTTGTTGTGTCTTCTTTATCCATGCGTGCGTGTATAGCCTCCTTCGCTGGTTTGAGACCGAAACGACGAGGAATGATTGGCAAACGTAGAGGATTTTTGGGTTGATAATGATATGCAATACAATTCGGAGTTAATTACATGCTAAAATAAAATAAAAAACAGATAATCAAACAAACACAATCGTCATTTAATAGAGAAAAAAAGAACTTTGAAAAATGACTATTTGAAATGTAAAATACGCAATAACTTTTGATTTTGAATATATCTATACTACTGATGATAATTATGATAATGAAAGTGTTGGTCTATGGTTTACATTTGACGGTCAATTTTGTTTTGCGTTGAATACAGCAACCCACTCTTTGGAATAGTATTATGATCTTAGCGAAGGAGTAATAGTTAGACAGAGTATGGAAGTAACAAAAGATAACTATTCACCGCTGAATTATTATAATATTATTATTATTTCATCGGGTTCCGAGTGAAACATAGGCCTTCAATAACATATCTGCACTCTGTTCTGTTTTCGGCTGTCCTCTTCAGCTAGTTATGAGGTTAACCATTATCTCTAATATCTTCCTCGTCACAGGATCTCCATGTTATCCTCGCACTGATGGCCTACTCAACAATTTCCATTGGGATTCCACTCGAGTGATGGCCTGGCGCATATGACCAATCCGTCTTCGTTTTCTCCGGCATATTTGTTGAGCGATCGGCCCTTAGTTGATTTGAAATTGCAGTTGCCTATTGCTTATTCTTGCTGACCGTTTTATCTTCAGTATAGAGGGATGGCAGCTGTTGTTAGAAGTCTTTAATCTGTTGGAAATGCTTTTCCTGACGCGAATGCAAAATTTCAGACCCATTATTAGGAACAACTTCACATTTGCGTTAGTAATCCGAATCGCGTTCTTTGTGCTAAGTTAGTGTAGAAGATTTTCAAACTGATTTTAGAGTGATGAAGGTCTGCCTCGTCATTCTGATTCTGATTTTCACATCCTCATCTGTGCTCATCGCCTTTGGCTGGAATGATGCTTCCTAGGTAAGTGAAAGAAGTAACGTCTGTCAAATCTCTCCTGTTGATGGTGGCTGCTGCTGGGTGTTCTTGCTGGAGTGTGAGTGCCTTCATCACCTCTGTCTTCTCTATGTTCACCTGGGGTCCCGTCTTCGTTGCTTCTACAGCCATTTTATTGGTTTTGGCCTTCAAATCTTCACCATTGAATACTGTACAGAATACAGATAGTATCATGACCACTGTATTCTAGGCTACAGTATCACTGATTGGCGGGAGATGAAACTTAGTAAATTGACAGTCAATGAAAATGTAGTTTTTTTTAGGTAGAAATATACGAACAACTGTTGAGTAGATGCACTGAGTCTCACGTTATCCTATAAAGTATCATATTCAGTGTTATTTACAAGAGGATTACAAATGAGGAGTCACACATCTACTATCACAAATCTTTTCTCTATGTCTGTAGTAGTCATAAAAAGACTCCTGAATTGATTTTAATTTATTTTCTGTGTAGTTTAGAGATAACTGTTATGAAATGCGAATGGCTAGGTAGTGTATAATACAAAATTACGTGAAATCGTTTTGAGCATCACCAAAAAATATAGAATATCAGATGGCTGTATTGTCTTGTTTAGGGACTATTATGCGGTTGGTACCCACCTTCACCCCGTAGCATAATGTGCTTAGAAATCTCAGCAGACTTAAAATTTGAATTATATTCGTGTTTTTATCAGTAGCTCCAAGGTGGATTTTTGTAGGTATTAATGAGAAATTCTGTTCATCAGGTCAACTATGGTGATCAGTACTTACTGAGTGACACTGGAGAAATGTAATTGCGTGCTGAAAACCGATGCAAATCAGAATTAATAAGCTATTGGATTGTTACTTAGTGATATTACTACGCTATGCTCTCCTTGTAAACTAAGTGTCTTCGATTCGACCTCTAAAGCGTTGTGGGCATACGCAGCTGAGTATTCTCAAATTATAATAAAATGTCTACACCAGACACTGCAATTTTCAATGGCCCTTTCTATCTATTTCACTTAGTAAAAAGGTTCACCTTGGACTGCATTATACCCCCATAAAATCGACATCTGGAAGAAGATTTACTCAGTCATTCTGCTCATCAATTTAATTTGTCATATTATGTATTATTCTTTTCAGCGATGGTTAAAATATTAGACGACAATGCGGATGGGGAATGTTATTTAGTGACGAATTACATTTCCACATGACCTACAATGACCCACATTTATTATCTGAGTATGAATGATCCTAACTGGATGTCCAAAACTTGGTAGGGGGAGAAGGAGATTCAAACCCTCGACATAGTGTGCAGAAATCAGGCGCCTTGTCTAGTGAGCACCTGATTAATAACATTATTTGAATTTGTGATTACTTAACTTCCATTGATAGGTTCCAATTCACTACAATCTCTGTTTGTGAAGTGATTCATGGACACTTTGAATTCAACTCTAGATCATAATGTCTGCAGTTAAAACAGTCTAACATCAGCTTACATATATCATATAATTTCGAAGCGGTGAAGTAATTTCTGGTAGCCTTAATCAGTCATATTTTATCAACTGTACAATTTGCAATTACCTACCTTTCCTGATATACATCTTAAACTGAAAATAAGTAAATTCTAAGCTACTAAGGAATTCATTTGGTAACAGTAAAGTTGTGGTGAGAGATGGTTGCTAGCCGAATTGGTTGACAGTAATTGAGGTCAATGTTAGTCATGTGAAAAGAAGGTAAAGATGGACAGGCGGATACAGTTAACATATAGATGAACTGACACAGCCACAAGAGATGCAAAGTTAACTGTGTGTGAGAAACAACCAATCAACAGACTGTATTTTCTACTAACATTAACCTACAATAATGTACATTAAAATCTATAAATATGTGTTGATTTTCCGTAATAAATGCTCTGTTGCCTGGCCCTTGTCTTCTGTTGTTACAAAGTGACAAGTCAATTAAGCAGATAATTGTCTTGTCAGGTTTCTTTAATGTTCAGACTTTACCCATGAATTATCAATGTGAGCACAATAACTTGAAGTGTTCATAAGTGGTTTTATGCATTACCACGGATATAATGTGTTGCGTAACTGGTAGTTTAGATAAACTCCAAATCAAAATCCATATTGATTAATAAGTGGACAATGAGATATAAGTGAGAAAAGAACAAGAAGTTCAGCAAATATATCTTTTCAGCAGTTTCTTTCTCAAAGGTAGATAGACTGTAAGTGCGGAATGAGAATCAACTCTAAAACGGACAAAAGTGAATAGGATGTCATTTTCGTGTATCTACAGTATATACAGAATTTCATTCCAGAGGTGCAGGCTAATCGTTTTCAAGATAACTTGAGAAACCAATTTACTAGCTACCACTTTGATTATCTGTTTTATGCGTAGAATTATTGTTCTCTTCATTAAAATGAACACTTTTTTTTATTCAAAAGAGTGCATCTGCTTCTAAAGAGTAATTTACCTCTGACAATTTACATAAACTGTGTCTAGTCGTGTAGGGAAATGTCTACCGACATGATTATATACAAGTCAGATAAAATAAGGCACGAGTTCCATACAGTTATGCCATATCACCGCCTGACTGTATTCAATTATTCATCAGATTTCAGTTCGTCCACCTAAAATTTTTTGTCTTCTTCTATATCGAAGAGGACAAGTGGTTAGCTTACGAGTTAAAGAGTCAAAATTATGCATGCATGTTGAACATTTTTCTAATTTTTTTATGCACTAACGTCACACAGTTCGATTTTATTTAATTTTCACTGTGTTCACCAGCTTTATTTATTTATAAAGTTTTAAGTGATTGATGCTCTAAATTACTAGAATTGTTTTTCTGTTTTCATTTTATATTCGATTTCTGTTCATTTATTCACATTTTTTAAATTGAGTACTGATCAAAGTTTTTACCATCTGTGAAATGTTACAATAATATTTTATGAATTAAAGAATTCCTTACAAGTTCATTTAGGAATTGATGGATAGTAGGTCACACTGAGCATAACTCAGCACGTTTTTCTATTTGACATAACCGTGACATAATATCGCCAAGAAAGAAAACCAAAAATTCTCTGGACTTTGAGTGAAACAGTTCAACTAAGGAGAAATACAGCTTCAAAATGATAGGCTTCGGCCAAATTAAACTTTAAGCATCATACTAACTACCAATGGAGTTCGACCGCACTAATGACCTTGGAGCGCTCACTGGCAAATCAAGCTGTCATCATCAATAAAATAGGCTCATCGAAGTGGTATGCTATTAAATGGGATTTCTGGCAAGTTTCAGCTTAGGTTTGGTAAAGATTAATTTACGCTTTAAGCCTAGGAAAAGTTAGGGTTAGGTTAAGCTAATAAAGGCGACATTAGGGTTGATTCGAGTTAGATTACAGTTTATTTAGGGATATTTTCAGTTTAGGGTTAGGTTCAGGAAAGATCATGGTTATTGTCAGGGTTGGAAGACCTAAATAATTACATCCATAGAATGTGGTTAAATTGCTCTGTTATATGAGAATAGTACTTGTGCACTCTGGTAGAGTATAATTCCATTGTGGATAGCATTTTGATAAAGTCTCACAGTGTTATACAGTACTATTCACTGATAACCACGTTTCGAGCACAATTTATTGCTCAGTAAATATTACTGTATTACATTATGAGACTTCATCAGAATAAATATTACTCCCAGTGGAATTATACTCTGCTGATACTCCAACCTTAGACTGAGAGCTATTTTTATCAAATGTGAGAGAAAGGTATCCTCTGTAACAATTTTCTACAGTTTTTATGCATTTTTTTCACACAAATGCCTCCTTCACGTGATTGGAGTGTTCGATGTCAGTCGCTGATTGGTAGTTAGTAGTGGTTAAAGTTTAACTTTACCTAGGCTTCTATCATAATTACAAGTGTCATAGCTTAGGTCGTTAATCGTTTGAGATAGCAGTATGCAGGTTGCTGGTTCTGGTTCATTTTCAGTCATCATCAAAGCCATCACTGTTTTCATAGTCAGTTTAAAGATGAATTCAGAGGTCAACATTTGTTTCTATGAGAGTCATGTCGTTTGGCAAGAATAACTTGAGGTGTTTGTTATTTCTGAAATTAAATTATGTACAAAACTCGTTATTTAGTGCTTAAATGTTTCTAACCAAATACCCCTATACAAGTGACTTACTATAGGAGGGAATTGTCTGGATTTCTAGTCGGAAGTTGCGACCAGTGAGGTTCACTAAGTTAGGTGTGACGACAGAGACTTACTAATTGCATTGGTTGGCGATTGCGCTGGTTTTTTTAACGAATAAGAATTGATGAGCAATCGGATTCTTTCTTAGTGGCTGAATGATGCGTGAGTTCGCCTTATAAACTGAAGCTTCTAAGTTGGACCAATAGTGAGGTCATGGGTGCGTGCCTTTGAGGAGTCTTAATCAAGGATGAAAC